CAGACCGTCAGAATCTTATACCAGCCCATGTCTTTCAGACTTACTGTGAAAATTTCCTTGCTCTGTTAAACATTATTTGGGAAATATTAAAAAAGAAAAAAAAAATTAATAATTCTAATAATTAAATAATATTTCTGACTTCAAGGGGCTAATAATTCTGACTTCACCTGCATCTCACACAAAATTGTAGTATTATGTTAAGCATTTTTTTTTTCTTTGTAAAACATCCAACGAGGAGAGGGATCATCGTCGTAAATAATTAAATGATTAAATAGAGAATTACTACAATTTTGTGTGATTTTGAATAAAATATAACTAAATAATGATTCCCAGTTTAGTCAGTTTGCCTGTTCTAAATTATGCGCAAAATGAGTGACAGATTTTACCTGTTAATTCCAAGGTTAGCTTGGATTAATTTCACTTTTTTATTTTCTAAAATGTGAATATCACTTTATAATATTTTATATCTCACAAAACCACATGAGGCCATAACAGATTATATTCTATTCTTTTATTATTATTTTTTGTTCACAGTAAAAATATTGATAATAATTTGTACTTTAAAATGGAGTAAATTATACCCAAAATATAGGCCTTTACTCCTTTATTTTGTTATGTTAACCATTCGTTACTTTACCTTTGATCCAGCGAAACAACAGGAAATGTGATTGCGAACATGAAGAAACATCAATAACTGGACGAGTGCCAACTGACAGCCTTGACGACATGACAGAATGACAGCTCCGCTCATGTTCAAAACAACCTTCCATCTGACAAAACCAAGGGGGAAAAACAAACAGTGTCGTAGGAGCATACGGCAGTTCTCCAAGACCCTGACCAGGCGAGAAGGCTATTATCCATCAGCAGATGATTCTAACCCTGACAGCTTCAGACCCAACGGGCTTCCCTGAGGAACTTGTCTCCGTTTGAATAATTAAGCCCACTTACAGTTCTCTAACGGATGACCGTTTGTAGCCTTTACTTTCACACCTTATCAATCACTTGCGTGTCAAGCCTTTATACAATCCGCCCACCCCCGACTCCTGGTTGCATCATTTGAAATGCAAAGCACGGCCTCACCAAGCCAGAGTCTTGCTCTTGCATCCCTCCACCTCGCCTGCTCCTGGAGCTTGTCTCCACAGATAGCGGCCTCCTTCCGTGTTCTGGCAATCCATCAGGCTTTGACTAACTTCTGTCCAACTATTTGACATCTGGGAGATGGATGGTGTCAGCGCCTGCCGTTGCCAGTAACTCCTCCTGTTAGCATGTTAGCCAATGCTAGCTTGTTTTTTCCCCATAGAATAATAAACAGAGGCTTGGCTGGTAATTAACACAAGTGGAAGTGGGTGAGCTATCAGTTAATATTAGGCGTTTCTTCAGACAATATATGATTATTGATGTGACGTGGTGTAGTCGAGCAACATACATTCCACAGATTGTTCGCAAAAGCTTTACGAAAACAAAGAGATCAATGTCTGTCTACAAGGACTCTTTTTCTGCCTCCAAAGGACTTAGTGTCTCCATTTTCTCTGAGTAGCCACTGTTGAACAGAGCTTCGCAAATGAATGGCCGCCTATTTTTTCTTGAGCTCTATGCAAATAAACTCTGGCATGCTGCTGAACACTTCAGATTGCTTTTTCTTTTTTTTTCAACACTCATAACACTGATTCTTGTGACTGCGAGGAACAGATCTCTGAAAAAGCAGGAAGACTTGCATTGAGACTTTGGAGAAATTATTTCAAACCTGTATGAATTTCTTCTGTGACACACAAAAGATGAAATATTAAAAAAGGTTTTGCATCAGTGGGTTCAAAACTACTTTCAAAGAATTTTTTTTTTAAATAACTTTTCCACAGAGGAAAGAAATAGAAAACAATTGATGACAGAATTTTCTTTTTAGGAGTGAACTGCGCCTTTAAGCCTTTAGAATGAAAAAGTTGGTGGTGTCTCAAACTAGACACCAGCCGGTATAAGAGTCTGTCGGTATGATTTACCTCAGAGAAAAATATCATGGTTTGACGGTATTGTGATTACTGCTCTAAAATATTCATTCATCCATTTTCATCACCGCTTCTCTGGGGCCGAGTTGCAAGGCGTTCCCAGGCCAGCCAAGAGACATAGTTCCTTCAGCATGTCCTGGGTCTTTTCTAAGGTCTCTTTTTTGTTTTTTGTTTTAAAGACTTCTTTTTGGCTTTTTTTAGATAGGACAGTATTTAGACAGGAAGCGGAGTTGAAGAGAGAGAGAGGGGGTAGGGAAATGTCCTCAAGCTGGGATTCAATCTCGGGATGCCTTGACGTGCTACTGCACCATATGTCGACACGCTAACCACTAGGCTATTGCGCCGACTTCCCTAAGGTCTCTTACTGGTGGGACTTGCCTATAGAACACCGCCCTGAGTAGGCGTCCAGGAGGCATCGGAAACAGACTTCTCTCGATTTTTAAATGTCTGGGTAAAAAACTAAAACTAGTTTCCCCTTTGAACACAATATTTTTTATTTTGAGAAACATTTAAAATATTTTGGAACAGTAAACATGTCAAGCTAAATAATTAAAATGAATCATTGACTTCTACTGTTTTCATTAGTTTCAAAAGATTTCTTTACAATTTAAAACACCATCTTTGGATATATTTTACTGCTGGGGATACTGTTGTCCTAAAAAGCAAAGAAAAAAAAATAAACATTTTATAAAATCTTACATATACTGTAGCAGCGGTATAGCAAAAAAAAATTGGGGCGGTTTTAAAACCTTGACAGTTCCAAACCACAGTATACCTTGAAAACAGATATCATCCAATGCCTTTCTCAAACATGTGGCATCAAAGCCATCAGGCTAGCACAAGTTTACATCAAAAAGCAATTAAATACTGTGTCAGCGGATGTGTGTCCTGTGCGAATGCCCATTTAGAGGAAGAGGAAAACAAAAAAAGAGGAAGAAATGATAGACACACAATCCTCCATCAGGAGTTTGATGAATGAGATGGTCAAAACAGCCATTTTCATGGGCCTCCTCAGGTTTCCCCTCTCAATTTTTAATGCAAGACATTTTAGACTTTACCCTGTATGCATGAGCGTCTGTTTGTGTGCGTATCAGTATATAAATAGGGTGGATTTTATAACAGAACACAGTGAGATGGTGTAAAAACAGGAGCATTCTGAGCCATCAGGGTCACAATGTCTTGGCCAAGCCCCAGAGGGGAGGAAAAGAAAGAGAGGATAACGAAAAGAGCTGCAACATGAGCTGTATACTCCTGGAAAGATCAGTCCTCCATATTAAAAAGACCCCTGTCACTCACAGGCCTTCAGCCCCAGATACCTTGCACTGCATTACTGTTTGTCTAACAGAAGGAGAAAACACACCAGTATTTTTCAGTCTGTTCGGTGCTCGGGGGGAAACTCTGAACAGGCAATTTAATATCGGGAGGATCGCTAAGAGGAAGTGCTGATGCGGCAGTCTCATGCTCATTTTATTTAGATTAACTACAGCGGTAATATCACAGCCACTCATGCCAGGAGCGACGCACAACTCATAAAGTGACAATGGAAGGGGGCAGGAATCTAAATGGGTGACAGGGTTTGTTTGTCGCCGTCTCTCAGAGAAACATGCGACATTGTTTTTGAGGAATGTAAGTTGGCTTCTTGAACAGCGATTAATTCTCAGGGAAAGCATTCGAGACTTTTTAAGAGTTTGCCGTTCCTTTTCACTGCATGAAAGTTTCACTATTTAATTTAGGTTTTTATTCTTCCTTTGAGTGAATAAAAATCCCTGAATGTTTAATAGGTTAAAAGGGTGGAATTGAAAAAAGCACATAAAATGCATCCTTTTATTATGCTTAATGTGTGCCAGATAGCCCATATTACATAGAAGCACCATCAACTTTCTCCTTTGCTCCCTTTCTGCCTTTTGAAATGGCTTTCAGCTTTGCAACAACCTCTCACCATGAAGCAGCCTTGCCCATTTTAGCTTCTGATAGCATAATAGTGTTCTGAAGCACCCTTTACGTGATAACTTAATGATGTAGACGTGTATGTGCACCGCATAAAAGCTATCCAAACCTTCCACAGATATCAGATAAATCATTACTGGTCTGCACACTTGATAATCCAGAGGTGACCCAGAATGGCAGAAAAAAGGGTAGACGGCCACTTAAACCATACAAAACCAAAAGATCCGGTCCCTTAGATACTAATCATGCGTCATGTGACTGGCAAAAAAAATGCTTAGCACCATTATTGACGGTGAAGGCACTAGTAGTGTTTTAGTGTTAATTGCAGAGTATATCAGACACTACTGTAATTACGTTTCCTGTTTGGACACTTCCTAAATAACTTCTCTGTTGTTTGTTTTGTCTTTCTTTAAGGGTCATTTCAAAGGTCCAAAGACGGAATAGGCTATGGGCTGAAGCTCTTTTATACATGGTGTCATTTGCAAATGATTGGTTTTGGCTTGTTGCCAAATGGAAAGAAAAGAAAAGAGTGGAAAAAATAGAGTGGCTGTTTCTGAGAGCTAGACTGGAGTGCTAGTTATCATTTAATATGTGCCAATGTGCATAAGGCAATAAATTAAAAGCCCACAAATCAAACGACTTACAGGGATTTCAATTACTGTGCCAAGGATTTTTGCCCCCACATTTAATCCATCATTATTATCTTCGCCCAGTAAGCATGCGTTTTTTGTTGCTGGTTATTTTTCATTCAGCTTTTCTTTTATTAATCGTTCATCAGCTGCTTCATGTTTTTCAGCATGGTTTGTTTTTGCTTTCGCATTGGTTTGGTATAATTCGGATGAATTACCTCAAATTGGGATAATTCTATGCTTGGGCACTCAGTCAAGCAATTGGAACAAGGACTGTCTTGGTGAATGCACACATAAACGAGTCTTACACATAATAATATCTTATTAATTGCTCCATTGTCCTATCTTCTGTCGTACATAAGGTTAATCAGCTGGGTTCTAATACATGCCAACAGATTTGTGCAAATGAAAATAAAGTACTCACGTTCACATGCATCTCCCTTCTGGTGAAATCCAGCTTTGCATATACATTTCCCAATGGGCACCAGCCATTCTCCTTCTGCGCTGCAGTGCATTTTGGGAGAATTGTCGGCCTCCTCCTCTGCATCGTTGACGCATGTGCCCTCCACTTCCACCAGAGATGAAAACTCCGAACCTGTCACTGTATCTGGGAACGTGGCCAGGTTCTCAATAATCGACCAACACTTCTTATAATACACTTTGACGGAGACCAAAGCAATGCAGGCGCCTACATCCTGAAAGGCTAAGTAGAAGCCTCGGCGAGAAAGGGGCCCGATTATACGCACCTCTGTGTTGAGCTTCATCTTTCTTTCCCCCAGGTCACCCTGAGTGAAACTCTCGTCCGCGGCTATAGTGTCAATTTTCACATACTGACTCTCCCTTATATTCCTGCCCACCTCCACATCGGTTTCCTGGTAGTACAAGTTGAACGTCTCCTTGCAAGAGCCAACCACCCCTGGAAGGCTGTTACAATCCCTCAAGGTAAACTTCAGCTCCACAAAAATCCTCTGGGCATCGCCCTTTTCAATCCAGTTAGTCCGTAGCCAATTGTTCTGATTTGGCTCCATGACCTGGCAGACCTGGTATGTGCGAATGGGTGTGTAGTTTTCATCCAAGCCGCTGATCTCTTCCCACTGAGAAAAAGGAAAACGCAGTTAATCATCATTACACTAAAAAGCTCAAAACTAACGTCAAGGGAGAATGCTACAGCGTGTTAAAACCAGTCTCTGTGTGAAAATATGCGGGATATAAAGATGATCTGAATGAATTCATCTGCAGCCAGCTGCTACATTTTTCAAATCGCTGAAATTAACACAGTTTAATCGGTGTCTTTGTTGAGTGTATTCACCTAAAATATTTATTTTAGTGATTTTTTTTTCTTGATATCAGCCAATAAATGTGAAAATAATGTGCATCTTAAAATAGATTTATATATATATATATATATATATATATATATATATATATATATATATATATATATATATATATATACTTTTTAATAAATCCTGCAAAGCTTTATAAACAACAATGTAACAATGTACACAGTCAACATAAAAAAGTAACTACAATGGAAAAAAAAATGTTTTAAGGGTATAAAGCAAACATAATTTTTGGTGTTTTTACAAGTTTTCCTAAAATGCTTATATGTATCCTAGCCACATCTTTATTAATTAAACAAACACATGCACAATACTTTTTGCAAACTTTGAATTCAAGTAATTCTGAAAAGTTTAGTAGAACATTACAGCACTTATTACAAGACAAATTAATAAAAATATAAACTACAAAAGCATTTACAAGTAATTAAAACTATTTAATCCAGTAAAAACAGCAGGTCAAAATAATATTTTTTTGTTCCTAATATAACTAATACTTGTAAATTGCTGCTACACATTATTTATGATTTTTATGTTTAAACAATTTTTTTTAATCTTTCAAGTCTTTTTTAAACAACAAAAGCAGTATAACAAAGAAAATAAGTTAATTTACAAAGTTCAGCAAAGGCTCAATTAGATGTCTTTAGTTAAAGCAAATTAACTTTTATTTTAAACGCCTGTAAAAAGTAGTTTAGAGCTCACAAACAACTTTTATAAGAAACAAAACCACCTTCATATAAAGCAAAACTAAATTATTTATTGTTTACCGTTTAGAAACATTCATGTATAAAGGCTCACATCTGAGAAAAGCAACATATTACTCCGCCGCATAATTTTAGGTTGTTATTAAAATGCCACAAGAAGTACGCGCATTGCAGAAAATCATAAATGTTAGTTGCAATAAGCAAAAGTTGCAAAGTTTCCAGCTTACCCCGCTTGGAGGAGACGATATCCATTCCAGCTCTGTCTGCTGCGCCTTTGAATCCAGCAGGATCACTGCCGACGACACACAAAGTGAACACTTACAATAATGCATCTTTAATTGTGATTAATGTTTGGCAGACATCTCGTTCATATTCCAGAAGCATTTTACATCGCGAGCGAGCGCAGACACAGACGAAACGTGAGCGAGCGCGCGAGTTTGACCCATTTTCAGCAGACAGCGGTGGAGATTTATGACAATAAGCACCCAACACCTCTGAAACCTGCGCAACACCTGTTCGTGTGTCAATATAACCGACAGGCACGCTTTCGCTTCAGCTGTGCGATCGAAAAATCGCTAAAGTTCCCTTGTGTAAACCAGTGAGAATATTACGCGGATGCGCGCGCGCCGGCTAAAACGCGTGCGAAATTAATCGCTATTTTGTTAGTCAAATACATTTCGCTGAACTGTTATCTGCTTTTTGAGTGATCGAGTGACTAAACTGAAGAGAATGAGTTATAATAAATAACGACTTAAGGGGAAATTGTAATTATAAACTCTCAAGGGGGCATAGGACAGACAGCACGATCTTAATCCAAAATTAATAAATAAATACAAAATAATCCGATAAATAAACGAGGAACTGAGAGTGTTGCCTTTTCAGGACTCTTCTCATATAACTGAACTAGCTACACACAACAGCCATAAGATCAATGTATTGGAAGTACACAGAGGGATTCATCAATTTCAGGTTTCAGTCCGGACGAACGATACCTCGGGTTCATGCTATATGTTTTATAGTCGATGCTGAAGTGTGTGATATACATATTTTCAGCAGCTTCAGACACAGAACTGCTGTAATAATAACACAGCGATCTGTGTGTTAATTCTGTAGGCTATCTGCTCGATAACTTGGTAATGAAGCAGTTCGATTGCTGTATGATTGCAGGAGGTTTTCATCCCGGACAATTCCTTTTCTACTAACTGAAGCTGATCGCACATGTCGCAGTCCAGTTGCAGAATTGTCCGTATTCTGCCGGGCTGGTTAACAAGCCACAAGCAGATCTTTTTCAAGTTTGATATTGCTGTTGTTTCACTGCACTGAATGGAAAGCACGACAAACGAGCAGCTGATAACCAGAAGATACATGGAGGTGAGGGTATCTTAACCAGATAAAAACTGCTGTCTGTGTTTTCATTTTTAGTCGCGTTGTGCAGTTGTAAATCACTCGTCTTCGTGTCTTGGCGAAAGTCTATGCGCCAGGGATAAAAATACTCGCATTATCAGAGACAGGCGCATATCATTGTCTAATGTGTGATAAAAACAATTATCTGTTTGTCTGTCACATTGTCGATACAGTATCTGCTGTAACTAATGATTTGTTCGCGCTGTCAAGATGCAATAAAGGAAACTTTCGCACTCACCCTCTCTTGTGTTCTGTGCTATTCCAGTGTTCACATAAAAACATAAATGAAGGCAAAATATAATCCACACACACGAAACTGAGGTGCAAACCATGGTGTAGTTGAAAGTTGGCTAAACAGTGTGCGCTTTTTCCAACGCGGCGTTCCCTTCCCATTGACTACGCTCCAGCACCAGCTCTCTGGGTGAATAAAACAGCCGTCTCTCACTCAAATACCTCGGCATTTGGGGGGCGGGGCTTAGCGCATTCGGCGTGTCACTTATCTTGACTGACAGAGAGCACACCCACCTTTGGCGCGCGAAAGGCTTTCGTGTAAAAACACGGGCGAATCAGCTTAAAGCGAAGGCGGATCCTTAATTTTAGTCTAAAACAGACAAGCGTGGGGTTCTCGGACTTCTAGGATTAAACGTTGTCGGACAATGTTTGCTGTCGTTATTTCAAGAAAGACTAAGCAATGCTGTAAAGTTCGACTGGAAATAATGAACTAAAAGGTAATAACGTTTTATGAACAGTTAAACGTGGCTTAATGAATTCAGTCAGTTACAGAGAAAATATCAAAACATCTTTGAGAGCGGGTGAGGAAACTTTCCCTGTCACAGCACTTAAAACACAGAAGTCTACTCTATCAAGATAAGACTTGAACCGTGGGTAGGGCACTCAAGCATGTCACGACATCCGATGAAACGTTCATGTTTTTCTCAAGTCATTGAAAAGCATTACATCATCAGCAGGTAAACCATTAAACATCATCATAACCTGTTTTGTCTGGCAGCTGTTTTGAGCTTGCAATTTTTTGTTTTGTCACTAACCTGCACGAGTTGCAGCAATCAAACGATTTCCGTAAAGGTCAAATAGAAATAGATCTAAATGCTCACATCTAGCTTAAGATATTTATTTATTTTTCTTTATTGTTTTGTTAATTGTAGATAGATAGATCTCAGTTAAAAGGATAGTTACCCCAAAAATGATAATATTATCCTAAGATTTTACTCACTCTCAGGCCTCCCTGAGATGTGGCTGATTTGCTCCCTACAAAATTGTGATCATTGATGATTCCATAAAATGCAAGTCAGTGAGTACCAGCACTACAAGAAATAAATAAATAAACATGACATCTTTTATTAATTAACATTAACATAGATGATATGGTCACACTTTATGATAAGGTTTCATTTGTTAGCTACAAATAAGCAATACTTGTTATTAATCATATTTCAATATTTACTAATGCATTAAATGCAAAATTGTGCACGTTAACATTAGTCAATGCAGTCAGTTAAAATAAACTAACAATATCCATTCATTCATTAATTTTCCTTCGGCCTAGTCTCTTTATTTATCAGGAGTTGCCACTGCAGAATGAACTGCCAACTTATCCAGCATATGTTTTACGCAGAGGATGCCCTTCCAGCTGCAACCCAACACTGTGAAACACCCATAGACCAGGGTTCATGCGGTCATGGAAAACCTGGAAAAGTCATGGAATTTTGACATGGCATTTTCCAGGACAAGTTTTGGAAAAACAGAAAAACCCACAAAGTTTTGGAAAAGTAATGGAAAACGCCGTTTATGTGTATACTTGAATATAGGTTAGTTGATTTTACTTATTTTTTTTTTGTCCTTGGTTAATCATACACTCTCGCATTAATAATGCATATTAATGTGTAAGCATTATCTAAATACATTTTTATAGATATAAATATAAATTGGGCATCACTATGGCACAGGGAGTAGCAGAATCGCCTCACAGCACGAAGGTCACTGGTTCAAGCCTCGATTGGGTCAGTTGGCATTTCTGTATGGAGTTTGTACGTTCTCCCCATGTTTTCCTTTGGGTGCTTCGGTTTTCCCCACAATCCAAAAACATGTGGTATAGGTAAGCTAAAGTTCTCTGTAGTGTATGAGTGTGAATGAGTGTGTATAGATGTTTTGCCAGTGATGGGTTGCAGATGGAAGTGCAACGGCTGCTCAAAACATATGCTGGATGAGTTGGCGGTTCATTCCACTGTGGCGACTCCAGATTAATTAATGGATTAAGCTGAAAAGAAAATGAATAAATAAGTAAATGAATTAATAAATATAAATGTAACTGAATAAATTGTTGCGTGTTTTACAATATGCTGTAATAAATTTTAACATGTATTGTTTTTACTACGCATACGTAGACATTGTATGAAAAATTAGTTCTTGAAAATTTACTTGAAAGTCTTGGGAAAAAAATGGAAAATTCTTGAAATTTTAGTAGCAAAAACGTGGATGCACCCTGATAGACACTCATTTACACACATACACTACGGCCAATTTAGTTTGCCCATTTCACCTATAGCGCATGTCTTTGGACTGTGGAGGAAACCCACATGGACATGCAAACTCCACACAGAAATGCCAACTGACCCAGCCGGAACTTGAAACAGTGACTTTCTTGCTGTGAAGCGACAGTGCTAACCACTGAGCGACCCTGTCGCCCACAATGAACAATATAATTTTCATTAACCAACATCAACATAGATGAATAAATACTGTATTGTTTATGTTAGTAAGTACGATAACTAAAATGAACTAACAGATCATTATTGTATAAGTGTTACAGATAATATAAAGCTTGTTGTTCATGAGCAGTTCATGCAGTAACATAAATTAATGGACATAATAACTAACTAACAACTGTAGAGTGTGATTGTGTATAAAATGCATTGAAACTAAAATGGTTGCTGAAAGCATACAGTCTTGTTGATTGGCCAGTGAAGGGCAGGAGGTCTGTTGTGCAGGTATAAAGACATCGAGACAGACAAACACAGATAAACATTGACTGCTGTGTTTTCAGAAGGTCACCTAATGAAGGAAAGTGCCCTGCTGATTCTGGCCGATGGGTGTGGATGCATTGATTCATTATATGCGTTACTGCTCAAGAAACGTTCTCTATGAAGATTGAGCTGCTGGGGTTTTAAGCGGCGCCAAGGAATCGAGATAAACACAAAACACAATTAAAAAGTGTAAAGTTAATTTCCTGCTGCTCAGATGACTTGCCAAATCACTGATAAATGAAAGCATGAAAGGGACCTCATTACCCCTCGAACGTATAATGCATTTGTTACAGGTCACTTATGAATCTCCATTTCCTAGAATGAGTAAAACAACTGTAATTATGCCCCACAAATATTGATTAATAAACTCTGTGCTGCACAAATGGATGAAGGTAGACAAGGACTCATTTCAAGGTTTATTTACCTCATATTTATTTATTTTTGTTGTTGTTGTTTGGCCTGTTTACTATGCAAATGATTTCTAATCCTCTTTACCCTTGATGCACACTCCTGTGTTGCATATTTGCATGTTGTTTATTACCTGCATGTTAAACTAGTTTCAATTATAGTGAATATTTCAAACAAGCATACTTTAGTAGCTTAAACTAGTTAGCAGGTGTGAAAAGGACAACATTTTCAACACTTGTTTGGATCACATTATCTGAGCAGGATTAAACCAAACCATGTAAGCATGTATGAATTCACGTTTGAATATTTATAATCAACAAAATGTTGATTAACATTCTTATTCAACTGAGTCTCGAGTGATAGCGCCAGGCTTGCCAGGTTCCCTCTTGCGGTTGTTCAAATTCTAATTGCAGTTTTTAACATTTCTGTTAAAACAAATCTTCGCAAGAGAAACTCCAGAATACACGTTCAGCAGCCACGTTAGTGAGTCCTCATCAGCTTAATGTTGTCATGGCATCGGTTAATTGAATTCTTTTGTTTAAACTGGGATTACACTCTAGTAGTCATGTGGAGATGACAGTTTGTGTAAGCGACGTTATACCTGACTCCACATTGAGCTCTAAGCTGAACCCTCACAAAGAGCTAATCATTTTAGAGGATACTTCATTTTGAGTGTGTCTTCCTTGAGAAGAATTGCCAGCCTCTGTCATAACACTAACCGTTATTATCATTTCACCAATATTCAGATAAACAACAGGCACAGAGTGAAGAGTACTAGAGTCCTAAAGCAATATTGTTGAATTTTGCTGGTGCACTGTTGTTGTATACTTTAGAGTATTATTTTATTTATTTGTTTGTTTATTTGTTCATTCATTCGTTCCTTATTTGTTTGAAATGTTCCAAACACTATATTCCTGAAGGGATACCAACAAACTGACCACATTTGTAAGTGTCTGCCTATATTTAAGTGCTTGTAACCAACAAAGAACGTGTACAAAAAAACTGGGACATGACTTGTTCAAGGTGTTCTTATTATGTCTGATCGTTTTGGAATTTATTTGTGGCATTTTTCACCGCACAAAGGGTTTAGACAAGATTTCTTCATCAGCAGGCAATAACATGCTGTTCTATTCTGACATTATTTTCCTTCAGGACTTCTTGTTTTTTTTGTTTTTTTTTTTTTCTCTCAGTTCATCTGAAGCCACTAAACAAGTGATCTGAATTGAACAGAAAGTGCTGTTAGATAATATCATTTATGATCGCAGGTTTATTCAAAATTTGAGCAGAACACCTTCAGAAAGGCAAGCTGATGGCTGGATTCTATAGCCCAGGCTGGGTGGAGCAGTCAGGCTGTCTGGATTCTTTGAGGGCCTGAAGGGAAAACCACCCAGAGATTTAATATCCAGAGGGACTGAACGCCTGGCGGACGGCTGGAGAAACATGGGCTCAGTGAGAGCTTGCAGGCAATTTTTAGTACTTTTTATAGGTTAGTAATATAGCGTCCCAAGAGACCCAGACAAAATCGAAGGTGTTTAATGTTACTCAGAGACTTTTGAGGGCTGACTAATATTTCACCAGACTGTCTGTTGGCATAATTATAGATCCAGACATATTTGTAATTGTGAAACGATTAGCTAACGTTTCAGGCTTTTTAATTGAGAGTTAGAATATATACAGTTAAAGTCAGAATTATTAGCCCCCCTTTGATTTTTTTTTCTTTTTAAATTTTTTCCCAACAGTTTGTCTGATAATATTTTTTCTTCTGGAGAAAGTCTTATTCGTTTTATTTCAGCTAGAATAAAAGCAGTTTTTATTTTAAAAAAAAAATTAAGGTCAAAATTATTAGCCCCTTTAAGCTATATATTTTTTCGATCGTCTACAGAACAAACCTTGTCATAAAATAACTTGCCTAATTGCCCTAACCTGCCTAGTTACCCTAATAAGCCTTGAAATGTCACTTTAAGCTGTATAGAAGTGTCTTGAAAA